TACTGGCTTGAGGGAGAGCCGCGCTATCTCCACCGCTGCCGTGAGGGAGCCAGACTCTCTCTCCTCTGCTGCCCTGAGCCAGGGTTGTGCTTCGTCCACTGCTGCCCTGAGGGAGTGCCGTGCTACGTCCATTACTGCCCTGAGATGTCGCGGGCGCTGCCCCAGAGCAAGGAGGCGCTGCTGCAGTCGTTCAACAAGCGGCTCAGGGACGACGTGCGCTCCATCCTGGACAACTTCACGGAGATCGTCGAGACGGCCAAGGGTCGTGAATGAAGAGTCCCCTGTGTGGGCTTCACTGGGGCCGTCTGGACGGGTAGCAGAGACACGAGAGGCCAAAAAACGACATTTCCAGTCGTGGGCTGAGCTCAAGGAGGGCTAACTCGAGCACCATCCTGCGGCGGGGAAAGGAGGCGGTGCAAGCGTTTTTCAGCCGAGCCCACAACAGCCAAGAATCTGCTGTCTGGGGGGAGGGGGGGGGGGCGCTGTGAAACCCTAGCACATGGGCGAGAAGCCGTGCATGTGTGACGAGTGCGGCAAGACGTTTTTTCTCACGCTCGGCCTACAAGTATATATATATTTTTCTATTCCACTTGTGTATAAATCTGTGTATACCCCGGATATTTTAAAGATGGCAATTCTCCTGCTGTGTATCATACTGCTGTCCCTCCCGGCCATATCTAGTGCCACACTCAACTCTACAAACGGCTACCCTCGTTATTTTGCGTCAATACTTGTTGCTCGATTTGCCACTACACCTGCAAATGAAATAGCTCATAGACACTTCTACACTCCATCACTGTATCCTTTTAAACCCTATCTTTGTCCCATTACTTCACCAGCACTCCTTCCAAACTTAATTCTGCTCTTAAAAATAACACCATCTGCGAGCTGCTGCTATTCGACCAAGGTTCGCCGCTCTTCATCCTTTCACAGAAAATACTTATGCAAACTGTTAATTCTACTTTTCTTATTTCTGGGTGGTATTGAGCTTCATCCTGGCCCAAATGAAAAGAACTCGTATAATTCTGTAGATTTTTCTGGCAGGAAAGGGGTTGGTGTTCTACATGTCAACATCAGAGGGCTTGTGATTAAATTAAGTCAACTAAAACTAGCAGTGGAAAATCTTGACCCGGACATTTTTTGCCTAACAGAAACATTTCTCACTCCTGCCGTCAATGACTTGCAGATTACGATAAAAACTACAACCTTTTTCGGCTTGACCGAGGATCTAAAGGAGGTGGAATTGCCATCTATGTTCGTAACACTATTGCATGTTCACCAGCTCACTCCTGGTTTAAAAAATGTTGCTTTGAAGGTTTGGCTCTCAGAATAACTCTCCCAAATAATCAACAGATATTGGTAGTGTGCTGCTATAGACCGCCTTGTGGGAAGGATGTTGAAGCTGCATCGGCACTGAGAGAGCTTTTTGAGGGCCTCCCTAAAGGTGACATAGTTTTAGTGGGTGATCTAAATTGGAATTGGCTAAACCCGCCGGCCGTGGCCACAAATTTTACAGAAGAATTTAACCTGTTTCAATTAATAAATGTCCCTACAAGACCCAACCTAAAAAATCCGGGACAGTCAACTCTGCTTGACGTCCTATTGACAAATGCCCCTCACAATTTCGCACTGACTGGTGTTCTGGGTAATAACCTTCGTGATCACTCCTTAATTTTTGGGGTGAGATCATCAGCCAGACCCAAAGCCCCCCCTAAAATTGTTGCGAAGCACTCTTTGAGGCACTTCAGCACTCAGGCATTTACAAATGATGTGCTTCACTCGGATATTGATGAGGTCTAGGATATCCCCAACCTGACTACGGCTTGGGAGACTTTCAGGTACACGTTTCTCCAAATTCTTAACAAACATGCTATGTTGGTTAGATTTAAAACTAAAGGCAACTGCCCACCATGGTATGATCCTTTGATTACAAAGCTCATGAAAACTAGGGACAAGGCTTTGGCATGTGCTCAGAAAAGTAATTTGGTAAATGACTGGCTAGAATACAGGATTTTAAGGAATAGATGCGTAAAACAAATACGGCATGCAAAAAATGCCTACTTTTCCTCTACTCTCCTCGAATCACATGGAAATGCCAGGATTTTTTGGAAAACAATCAAATCTATCGAAAAGGCATCCAAAACAGACAATCTGCCCGTTGAGCTTAACCGAAATGGGGAATATTTTTCAGATCTCAAAAAAAGTTGACAATTTTAACCTTCATTTTTCTGAAGCTGGTAATCTTTTTGATAATGTATTGGGAGTCACCCCTGCTCCTGCAAATTCCTACACCCCTGTCCAAACATTAAACGAATTTAGTTTCCAACCAATCCACGAAAGTAATGTTCTGAAACAACTGTCCTACCTCAAAGGGTCCTCCTCTACCGGAGCAGATAGTTTTCCCATCTTTGCTCTACTAACTGTTGGTCACCTAATATACAAACCTAGAGCCCATACTTTCTACCTGTCCATCAAAGAAGCATCAGTTCCTCTAGAATGGAAACATTCCTATGTCCGTCCACTTCACAAAGGGGGCCCTAAAGATGATCCCAATAACTACCGACCTATCTCAATTTTGTTCCCATTGATGAAAATTGTTGAAAAATGATTGAACTACCAAATTAGCAGTTTCCTGTCCACCAACAATCTACTACATCTAAAACAATCTGGGTTCTGAAAAAAATACAGCACCACATCTGCTGCATTAGACTCTTTGAATCAAATTTACAATAGCCTTGATAATAAGCAGTACTGTGCCTGTCTTTTTCTTGACCTGTCCAAAGCTTTTGATACAGTAGACCACAACACCCTGCTTAGTAAACCAAGTTGCCTCGGTTTTTCCGAGAACACAGTACAATGGTTAAAAAATTACCTCTTTTCTCGCACCCAAACTGTACTCACAGATGGTTGGAGGTCAAACAGTGTTAAGATAACAAAAGGGGTTCCACAAGGTTCCATCCTCGGCCCCCTCTTGTTCTCTCTTTATCTCAATGACTTGGGCACTGACCTGGATCATTCCAGGGTAAATCTTTTTGCAGATGACACGATACTGATTTTACTGCTGGCCGCTCTCTCGATGACGTGATTGCTAAGCTCCAGGGTGATTTCAACAAACTACAACATCAGCTAGTTTCTCTTAAACTAGTCCTGAATACCTCCAAAAGCAAGGCGCTATGCTTCTCACCGGGACTAAAGCAGGAAGTTATTTTTCCCCAATTACATTCCTTGAATAATTATCAAATAGAGCAAGTCAAGATCTATAAGTATCTTGGGGTCATCCTGGATTCAAAACTTAATTTTGAAGATCACATTGATTATATTGGTAAAAAGACAAAAAATAAAATTGGTTTTCTGTATCGACACAAGCACTGTTTCCCCCCAATGTTCCGTTTGTAATTGATAAAAGCTACCATACTGCCTCTACTTGACTACTGTGACATCGTGTATAAATCAGCCCCAAGTACTGTACTGAAGAAGCTTGATTCCATCTATCACTCGGCCTTAAGATTTGCATTGAACTGCCCATATAGGACTCACCACTGTGATCTCTACATTGGGTCAAACTTAATATCTCTTAATGTTCGACGGCTTGTGCACCAGATCTTATTTATTCACGATGTACTTACAAAAAAATCCGCAGACTACCTACTGGATCTCCTCTGTTTCAAAGAACAAATTTGACCTCAGGTCTTTGCTCATTTACCAGCTTCACATTCCCTATTGCCATACAAAAACCGGGGAGCCTTTGCTATTGATGCCCCCAGGGTCTGGAATGCTATTGCCAATAAACTGCAACTTGAATCACTACCTATGAGATCTTCACTCAAAACTGCTCTTGAGGAGTTGTAAACCCCTAGCTGCCACTGCTATTCAGTGGCCTAAAATATGGCTTTAGATTTTGGTGTTATAATTTATTTATGTAGTTTATTGTTAAAAATTCGGTCACAGTCCCTATGATCACTGTTACATTGCATTTATGGCTTTTATTTTGGTGATTTCGAAAACGTTTTTTTGGGTTTTGGCCATGTTTTTGTTTATTGTAGTATGGAGTTAGACTGATGGCCTTAATCTTAGATGTCTTGTGGTTGTTGTTGTTATTTGACTTTTATCCCACTGGGATTTTTGCACACAGCGTTGGTGTATGGTGCTATTTCAGGAATATTTTGATGTTTTTTTCCCCTGGATTTTCTGTTTGCACAGTCACATAATCACTTTAAGATGTTTTCTTGTTCATGTTTTTGTTTGTTGCGGTTGCACCCGATTCAAGAGCCGAATGGCTCACAGGGCTATACCAAATAAATGAACTATGAACTATGAAATCTCATCGACAGGGATTGTATGTGGGGTAACAGCAAAGTTAAGACCTTTATACAGGACTGAAAACATTTCGCTGGATAATTAAACGCGAGTGATGTTGATAACCGTTTTGTAACCACACTTTGTGCAAAAGCACAGAAGTGTGGTCACCACATCTATGCCTCTCTATATAAGGAAATAAACAGACTTCACAAATCTGGCTGTCGCCTGATGAAGTTAGTTGTAATTACTGGTGAAACGTCATACTCAGATTGTAAATGTTGTGGCCAGGCTCTCCAACACACACCGGTGTGCTGTACTAGTGACGAATTGGCATGTTATGTTTACGTGACAACCCTTACTAGTTGGCTGTGTCGGGTGGTGGTGGGTTTTAACGACACATTTATATATTTACACAATCTAACCCACAAAAAACCTCTTATGGATGATATTGGTCGCGAAAAGCCTACGTGTTAAACCATAAAGGTGTCATCCATTAATTAATAATTATAGATGGCATTGCGAGCAGGGTGGATAAACCACATGCGAGCAGAAAAACAAAGATCCCCCGTATAGCCTTAACAGAGTTGGTTGGTGAATGCAGTCATTCACCAACCCACTCATTTTCATACACACCCACCCATCCACTTATTTACACACTTTCCTATCTAACTGCTCATCCACCGACCCATCCACCTACTCACTCTTCTGCCTCAGCTCATCCTTGACAGCCTCCACTCCGTGCTTCTCAATGATGTCGTAGATGCCCTTGGAGGTAGATTGACTTCTCAGGTCTTTCTCCGTGATCCCCACCGACTGGAACATCCTCTTCAGCTCTGGGTCTATGTTCTGCACTCGTTTAAACACAGGGAGAATTTGAGGCATACAGTAGTGAACACATCCAATGCCATTTCCAGCATTAGTGGTATCTGACTCCTGCCATGGAAATGTGGAATTTCCACAAAATTGCTCAGGGCTACCAACAGTGATGGGTACAGTCTCACGCTACCCACTCGCTGCACATTAGGGGTTCAAGACTCAGGGTTGTTTTGTTCGACCAGGGACATCTCATCTGCAAGTGACCTCTGTGTCACTAATATGGCAAAAGCCATAGCACAGAAGCAAATGTACAGCAATGAACTGAACAGGAAGCATGTCGGAGACAACCAAATAGAAATCACAGCAGAAAGAACCAAACAGGAGCCGTAGTGAGTGCGGGCCCGTTGCACTGTACTCACGTCGAAGGAAGTTTGTGGATTATAGCCGACATGTTTAAGGTGTCTGTCAATAACGAAAAAAAACAGGGTTAGCTGAACGAAAAAAATACAGCCACTGCAATTTCAGGAACACACGACAAAACATTAGGGGCCCTGTTTGATGGGAGATGCTGCCAAATGCTCAATCTTCTTCTTTCATACGGCTGATGTAGATGCACATTAACAAATACAATCTCACATTCAGGTGCCCAAGCCAGACAACTGCGTCAGGATCAGTGGAGTGAATTTCTGTGTCTCCTTCATATTTGTGGATAGGGCAATACGTCATTATATGTTGTACAGTCCTTTCTCGTGACCACAGTCGCACACTGGACAGTTTTTAATTTTCCATTTGTGCATCAGGTATCCACATCTGGCATGGTTTGTGCAGATGTGATTTAGGGTGGACCATGAGCTTCGTGGAAGATCAAACCCAGGGATCTTCTGCATTGGGTCTTTCACAAACTCCATTCAGCTCTTCAGGCTTCAAACGGGTTGAATTTGTATTCAATAAAAAACCATAAAACATTGATCATCATGATCTTCGATTGACGTAATGAATCGGCCAAATTTGTGTTGTCAAAAACCCTCCACCACTTGACACAGCCAAATTAAATTAGTTATGTGGTACACAGCACAGGTGATTAGCAATGGGCCAACTATGATCGTTTCAGCTCGCTCACCATGGGCGAGTTTGGGAGCATCTTAAATTATCACACGAGCAAGTGATAGGCCCCGAGGGATGTGCAGGGGAGATCTGCGTGTTTGCCGAGTCTTGACGCCAGCAATGATGCCTTGCATCAACAAACGCACGGGGGTTGTCTCATCCGTATTTATCTTGCGCTTTCAGTGCAGTGGCATTTCAAAGCACCGTGCAAAACACAGACGAAAGAATCCAAAAAACCACAAGGCAAAAGACAAATATCACCCCTATAGCCTTAACAGATCATTGGGGCAAGGAACACCTATGAAGGCCGAAGTAGCACACAAGGGTTAGTCGCCGGGTTAGTAGCGCAGCTAAACGCACAAAGACGGAATCAATGTGGCACCTGCATTATCACTGCCAATTGTCACTTTGCATGACAACAAATAGATAGATGCAAGCGAGTTGCTACAAAATCACTCATCTCCCAAATGTATCGATGCATTTGAAACGCTCATGGTGTTGAATGCGATGCTTGTATTTACAATGGTTTATATATATATCTAAAATGTAACTGCAATGGAAATAGGAATCAACAGCAGATTGTCAACCCAGGGCTGGATTAAAGGATGTCTCCTCACATCGCATGGGTCACACGGGGGTTGCTTGACCATACTTCACCACACTGGTTATTGATGGGTGAAGTTGTTGGGGGGATGGCAATACAGATATCACTTGCCACTGATGTTAGCCATGACTGGGAGCAGCGCACACCCTCATCACTGCACACCATCGACTATAATAAATAATTTTTGCCACACACAGTGGCAAATCCACAGGCGCAGCAGGGGAGAGGCAGGCTTGGCGCATTTCTCTCCTGGATACACATAAATAATAATAAGACTATGTAACACAATTTTTATCCCTGGGTAGTGAGTGTTATTTTTTTATTGTTTATGCCTAAAAAGTATAGAAAATAGCTATTATTCCCCACAAACTTTGCTTTTGTGACCAGAACAGTAATATTTTGAATTTTACCCATTTTCAATGAGACAACGGGCAAAATTGTGTCTTTTCGTTCATAAAGTAAAAAAAAACAACATATGACTCAAAATTAACGTGTATTTATACTGATGTAGTGGAGTACGAAGGTGCGTGGTGGAGGCGGCGTGATTGCATGATCACACAGACAGTACGGGTTATCTTGGGTCAGCCTGTAGCGAAGGCAAAAACAGTATGGGTCATGTTAGGACAGCCAAGTGCAAGAGCTGGGATGATGAAGTAAAGGTTGGGCCAATTAAGCCAGAGGACCAGCAACGGCAGTGATAGGCTGGGGCTGTTGTTAAGGGCGAGGAGGCGTCGAGATGTTTGGAGAAAGTCAGGTGTTGAGGACTCGAAGCGTGGGGAGGCACGCGGGCCAATTAATTAGGGGTAATGAGAATGGAGATAAATTGGGGAGACACACAGAAAGCGGGGAGTTGGAGTTGGGAGCTGGACGAGGCAAGACGTGGAGTTGGGAGAGCTTGGAGTCAACAGGGGGAATTGAAGTGTGGAGAGTTGAGAGACAGAGTTTGGAAGACAGAGTTTGGAAGACAGAGTTGAGAGACAGAGTTTGGAAGACAGAGTTGAGAGAGAGTTTGGAAGACAGAGTTGGAAGGAGAGAGCGTAGCGATAGCGAAGCTGAACAAAGACGAAGTAGTTAGCAGTGGAGTGAGCGTAGCGATAGCGGAGCTGAAGAAGAGAATAGCCAGCAGTGGAGTGAGCGTAGTGATAGCGGAGCTGAAGACGCTGTGTGTGCGAAGTCGCTGCGTGCGAAGACGCTGTGTGTGGAGTTGCTGAGTGCGGAGTTTCTGAGCGCGGAGTCGCTGAGTGCGGAGTCGCTGAGTGCGAAGCAAGCGAAGTAATCGTGGGGAGTGGAGAGGCAAAGGTGGCGAGCGATTCGAGTGAAGCACGGCAAGCGAGCCGTGGTGACCTGGATATTGTGGAATGTGGAGGACATAATGAGAATTGTAAATAAAGAGGCGTTCGAAGAAAGACTGAAGTTGTCCGAGTGAAATCGAACACTACACTAAAGTAATACAAAAATGACTACAAAAGATTTAGAAATGAGTAGTTTTGAGATTTACAATTATACTGTAAATCACTTTCATGATTCAGCCCCCAAATATAGTCTCCCATCATTTTCTTGTTATACTGTCGTTGGTAGCGGCATTGAAAGTCCAGTATATCCTGGTGGAAGCACTCGTCTTGCTCCTCCGAGTACACTCCCATGTTCTCCTTGAATGTATAAAGATGAACATCAATAATATGGACTTTGAGGGACATCCTACATCCCATTGTGCCGTAGTTCTTCACCATAGTCTCAACCAGCTCCATGTAGTTTTCGGCCTTGTGATTGCCCAGGAAGCCCTGAACCACTGCGACAAAGCTGTTCCAAGCTGCTTTATCCTTACTAGTGAGCTTCTTGGGGAATTCATTGCACTGCCAGATCTTCTTCATCTGTGGTCTGAAAAAGACACCAGCTTTGACCTTTGCCTCAGACAGCTTAGGGAAGAAAGCTTGAAGGTACTTGAAGGCTGCCGACTCCTTATCTACAGCTCTGACAAATTGTTTCATAAGGCCCAATTTGATATGCAGTGGTGGCATCAGCACCTTCCGGGGGTCCACCAGTACCTTCCCACAGTCCCGCCTGTGTTAGTGCACCTTTGTGTCGCTACTGGTCCCAAAGGCAAAGCATGCAGGGAAAACTTGGTAAAACGACCTTCGAGACTCATCAGGAATGACACCATTTTGAAGTCTCCGATGACCTCCCAGCCATACTCATCATACTTCAAGGCATCCAGCAAGGCCTTGATGCTGTTGTAATCCTCTTTGAGGTGCACCGAGTGAGCCAGGGGAAGAGACGATTACTTGTTACCATTATAGAGCAGCACGGCTTGGAGGCTCCTGGATAAGCTGTCAATGAAGAGGCGCCAACTCATTCTGGTTACAGGCGATTCCGATTGCCTCGAAAAGACTGGTCACATTGTGGCAGAAGCAGAGCCCATCTTGACAGGTGAAGAAGCTGCAAAAAGGTTGGTGACGCTTCCTGATCTGCTACTTGTACACTTGCATCCAACAAGTTTCACTGCTTGAGTCTAGACATCAAAAGCTCGGTATTGGACTTGGTGAGACCAAGATCTCTGATCAAGTCGTTGAGGTCTTTTTGGTTGGGGTAGTATGGGTTTCTCTCCTCAGCTCCACCTCTAAAATTGTCATCTGGATCTACAACGTCTTCCTCGCTCTCTGACTTGCTGCTCTCTTCTAAAGACGGCTGCTCTCTCTCCGGAGGAGTGGGTACAGGGAGCTTATGGCAGTGTGGCACCGGGGCAATGGATGAAGAAAGGTCCAAATACGTGATAGCAGGTGCACTCTTGCCAGTCCGACGTTTGGAAGGATCCACCATGCAGAAGTAGCAATTGCTTGAGTGGTCAGTGGGTTCCCGCCAAATTCTTGGGATAGCGAACTTCATGGCTCTCTTTTCCACTCTGTACCATCCTACAAAAATACATTTATTTCACCCATGACTAATGTGTAAGAGATTCTTGCAACATTTGTCATATATGATATATTATTCAATGACATTGAAAATTGTAAAACATTTGAAAATTAAAATCTTTTACTATAATTTTTTTGTTTACAAATCTTATAACAAAATGACAAGCAACAAATTGTCCATCTTACCTTCCAGAGTTTTTTTGCAGGTGAAATGAGGTCCCCAGAGTTTGTCTTAATCCCCGACAGGCATGCGAAATATGCCTTGTAGGCCTCACACATCTTAGCAGATGCTTCCACAAAGTACTTTTCCGCTCTTGTCTTGATAAATTGGCCGCAGACATAGCAAAATATGTCTGCTGGATGCTTGCAGCCTCTTGATGCCATCTCAGAAAAATTCAGATATGTATCACGTCCTTTGGATTGCGCTCTCATGCCTTTGGATTGCACCACTCTTCGTTGTTACATTAACATGCTAATCCCTCACATTAACATAGCCACTTGCGTGCCCTCGTCAAGGAGGCCGCTCTCTGTTCTTACAGTTACATGCCAAGTTCTCACATTAACATCACTAGCCACGCCCACTTCTTTATGACCCTTGGGCTACACCCATTTCAAACCTTTAAAGCAGTCTGCCTTAGCAGCAGATCATGCTTTCCCACCTGATGACGGACGCCTGTGTTGCGCCCGAAATGTCCTGATTTATTTTATTTTATACCTACGTGACTTACCGAAAGAACCAAAGAGTATGAACTGGTGGGCTTAAGGCCCCTGTATTTATACAACAATTCATATTACTCCAAGTTTACTCAGCACTGAATCAGTCTGGAATTCTCATTGAAAATAGGTAAATGTCAAAGTACCACTGTCCTGGTCACAAAAGCACATTTTGTGGGGAATTATAGCCATTTTCTGTACTTTTGAGGCATAAGCAATTCGAAAATAACACTTACTACCCGGGGACAATTTTGTTTGTTTGTTACATAGTGTAATTATTGCTATGACGTAAACCCATGCCATCTCGAACGCGACCCGGGCCTGTATGGACGCGTGCGTATGTGCGTGTGTGCGTGGAGCGTACTGGAAATTGCTGGGCCCGCTGATGAAGCGCTTGTCGATCTTGGGTTTAGCCGCCTTCTTGGCTGACCGGCCGAGCGTCGCCGTGGACAGCTTGGCCAGGGAGAAGGGGAAGCCCTGCTGGCCGCTGCTGGGAGGCATCTCCACATCGCGCTGTGTTATTGGCGCCACAGCCTCGCTCGGAGAGAACACGGGGCCACGCGCTGCCGGAGTGACATGACACAAACACGCGTCCAGCACACTTCTGGCAGACACCTTTCTGTATTTATATGTAGCTTATTTACATATGTTAATTAAACATGTTTTAATACCTGTTGATTTTATGTGTCCCTCGATTAGCAAACATTTAAATATCTTATATTGTCAATAACCGAAAATATAATGTATTAGTCGTTTCAATGTGCTATTAACGTTATATTTTTAATTGGGTGAGCGGGTGGGTGAGTGGGTGGGTGAGCGAGTGGACGGGTGGGCGAGTGGGTGGGTTGGCGAGGGGTGGGTGGGTGAGTGAGGAGAGGGTGGGCTGTCAATAGCAGGCCGCACGTGTCCTGACCTTGCCACTCATCTGAATCATGATTACCGTAAATGCAAAGGGAACACAGAGGCCCGGGATGTGGACAGAGGAATGGTAGCACTTACTCTGCCGTTGCTGGATTCTCTCCAAGATTGCACTGCCAAAAGCCTGGGCTTCCTTCTCGCTTGAGAAGTTGAGCCCGACTTGAAACTCCTGTTTGGTGAGGAACAGAGAGACAGGTGAGAGGGGGAGGGATGGTGGCGGCAGCATCTATATATGTATGTTGAACTTCTTTCGTACCATACGTAGCCAATCCGTGCTAATCGGAGGTGCGGGGTAAGGACAATAAACTAAACACAATGGGCAGTTACAAAGAAAAGAGTTTTCAATCCAGATTTTAAAGTGCTTAGCTCCAGTGGTTTCCTAATATTGGAAGAGCGTTTCAGACAGCTGCAGAAGCGCATCTGAAAGCGAGCAATGCGGCGGCCGTCTTTGTTCGATGGCTCGCTAAAAGTGGCCACGAGGATGACCAGAGTTCTTGTGATTGTTTATGCTCCTTGGCGAGATTGGCAAGGTGTTGTGCGGCAGGGATTGAGTGGGCACTGCAGCGGTGGCCACACAAGCCACCACACCGCCCTGGTGCCTGGTAGAGTCGTGGTCCGGCAGCACAGGAACACCACTGTGGGAGTTTTGACTCGCACGAGCCGGGAAGTAGAAGCTCTCCGATTCGTTTTTCAGTGTCGTTTGGTTTTTGCATCTCCCGGTTTATCCCCAATGGTGTTATGACAGGGCTCGTGTCATGGAATAAAGAATCCATTCGGAAATCTCATGCTGTTCCACTTCCCGTGCATTGGGACCGCTTTAGCGGACGCGTCTTTGTTCCTCACCGAACTTCGCAGCTAAAAGTCCTGAAGGTGGTCCTTTCTCTATACAGTGAAGAAATACAGAACAACAACGCTCAATGCGGTCGGCAATACCGCGTGACCTGAAAAGAAAAATATACTATAGGCGACATTTTGGACAATGGCCTTTCTTTATAGTGGTATTTGCGCTCATCAGCAGTGGGTTTATGAAGTATGGAGCCCAGAGGCAGTTTAGATATTGCCTATAGCCACTGCTGTCAACCGCTGCTGGGAATTGAACTCTGGTCGGCGGGTTCAGAGCGCGGCGTGTAACAACTGCGTCACCGGGGGCGACCCAGTGGTGGACTGTGGGCTGACGCTACACTGGAACTTAAACTCATCACAATCTCGTGATTGTCAGTCAGTTATTCTGATTTAGTACTTATCCTGACCATGCCTCTCATCATCCGGATGACAATTACCATAAACGCAAAGGGAACAGAGGGAGCACATTGAGGGGAAAAGGAACACAATGAATGAAACACAATGAATGTAAAAAGGGAACGCAGAAGGAACATGATGAAGAGAAAGCGGGAACAGAGGGAACACAACGAAGGGGAAAAGAGAACAGAGTGAACACATTGAAGGGAACGCCAATGCTGGAGTGGCGAGGGCTGGTTGTGGAGGCGGAGCTGCCATGGATGTAAAGACGATGACGCCAGGAATGCTGCTCGCTATGCGGACCGACTAAATTCCCCCTTTGTTTGTTTAGGGTTAGGGTGGGGGCAACACGTCAGGCAGGTTCGGAGGGACTCGGTGTCGCAGCTGAAGCCCCGGGGACAGAGACCGGGCAACACCCAAAACCAGCCGCAATGCGTATGGCACTGCAGGCAAGCGAGCGATCAGCGGGCGGCGCGTTTGTCCATTGAGTGAGTCCACTCCACGGGGAGCGGTGACACAGTGGCTAACGCACTGCGCTAAGAACCCGATGAGCTCCATTCCAGCTCAAGGCCAACACCACGGACGATTATCTGAACTCCCCTATGTCAACTCAGGCTAAATAAGTACCTGGCGTGTTGTGTAAACATCAGTACTGGGAAGACAAAGTCGGTTGGGCGTGTTGTTGGCCACCCACCCCCTTGTGTGGCTGTGCCGGCCTTTATAGGTGCTCGCTAACAGGACACTTGTACCAACAGTCTGTTCAAGACTATACGGGGAATCTTTGTCTTTAGTGGTCACAGTAGTAGTGGTGGCAGAGATGCTCATGACGGAGATGGTGACGGTCATATCATCGTGGTTATGGTGGGGCTGGAGGTTGCGGTTAGCGCAATGCGGTAACGAGCACCAATACCATCACCACAATACCGTCACCACCACCACACCATAACCACTATCATCATCACCATGAGTACACTGCTGATGATGCACATGTGCTGAGAAATAAAAAACCGCAACAACTTTCATTGTTGCAGTGCAGCCAGCAATCGAACATGGGTGTCTCTGCGATGCACCATCCACAATCACCTATGCCCCTCTGCATTATCCAGTGGGCTGCACGCAGGCTCACGTGTCCACTCAGTTCACGCCGAGCTCTGCAGCCAGCGGCTTTGCTCCACAGCTTCAGCACAGATTCGCGGCTGCAGTGATTTATGCCTTGAAACACTCATGCACACCACATGCAACACCGCATTCTCTCTGTGTTGAGCTGCTGCCAGCGTGGGCGATGGAATGCGGCGTTCAGCAATGCACGGAATCTTCTGTTCGGTGCAAAAGAATATCAAGAAGGGATTAATAAATTTATGGAGGTGGCGCCCTCCGCTGTCACGGCAATTGGGCCCGGGTGTGGGCGCGGGCGTGAGGAGTGCGCTCTCCGCTAGAAATGCAACGCAGTGCCAATGTAGTGTCAGAGCGACGTCACGAAGCTCGCCTCGTTGTGCAGGTGTTGTATCTTTGCCTTCTGATCGGAACTTTAAATGACTAGAACAGATGATGAAACAGCTTGTTGTTGTTGTTGGACAAGCAACATACCTCGCTATACCGCTCACTCCACTGACCGCAGTGCAGCGCCATCGTGACGTGATGTTATTTTCCTCGCCTGGTATGCAGTGGGGGTTCGGGGGTTCGATCCCAACCCTGACGCCTGCTGCTGTATATTTGGAGTTTGCATGTTCTCCCCTTGGTCGCGTGGATTTTTTTCACTGGGTCCTCTGGTTTTTCCCTCCACATTTATAAACATGCATCTAAATTATTAGCTGCGATAAATTTCCACTTGATAAGCCACTTTGTTGAGCTATCATTTGTGATCAGGTCGCTTCTGAAAAAAAGCTAATAGCTCAGCGGGCCTTACCTGGCAAGAAAAAATAGTCCAGTTTTATTTGTATATATGTATATCTTTTTAAGTGATTTATTTTACCTTTCCTATACTTTGCACTCCTATCGTGTGTTTATATTGTTTGTTTTGTAGTGTTCTGACCTGCTCCTACTGGACATCTGTGAAAAGAGATGTATAGCTCATCGGATGACTCCAATATCAATAAATATTCCTATTCTGAACCTCGTCACACCCACAACCAGCACCGTCCCAGCTGAGTGGCATTTATCCGAAGCTTCACTGGCAGCAGCCGTCTGGAAATTTCTCTCCCACTTCACACGTGGCAGCAGCATCCAGTGCAGTGTACTGGTCAGTCGAGCTGCTACAATGGCGTGTATGCTAGAGCAGGCGTCCTGATATACGGGACGCTTGTGGGCGTTTTTGAAGTGTGGGCAGGGGAATACCATTGTTGTCGTCCCCCCCACCATAGAAACGTGGAATTTCCACCGCTGGCTGTGTGGGGACCATGTAGGCGAGACTGGTGCCTCTAAGCTTGTTCGAGCGGGAGCTGCTGTGAGCGGTGGACTGGGTCGAGGGCCAAGTGCGCTGCGTGCTACTCACGTCCGCCACGAAGCAGTGGAAGTACGGCCTTAGGGTGCGGTATGTGAACTCCGCGTAGAGCTCCTGGTCGAGCAGAGTCTTCTGATCCTGAGACGAGAATGCATTGGTGGGTTCAATACTACGTCATCGCGTCCCGCCGTCACGCATCCTCCCAGACCAATTAACTGCCCACACACAGCGCCGCATCCCTGCGTGGTCGTGGTGGCGGTGGAGCTGTCACTTGCTGTAGACGTTCGCAAGTCCGACCTTTCCACACGCAGTGATGTTATCCGTCAGCTTGCCTACACTTCTGCAGTGCAGCAGAGCATGTCTCTGTACGGTTGTGTACCATGTGTGCCTCTAAATATTCAGCAGCTCCTTTGTGGAGAATATAAACAACACTATATATTATACTCTTTGTTTTTTTTTGGTAAAGTCACGTAGGTAGAAAAAATAAATGATAAATTACGACGTTTCGATCGCAACACAAGCAATCGTCATCAGGTAGAAATATACAGCTGTAGAACTGCTGAACAAGAAAGGGCTGTTGCAACAAGAGGCTATATATAGGTTTGAGGTGGGTGTCACCCAAGGGTAAGTAGGCGGGGCCAAAGGAGGATTGGCATACTGATGCAAACGAATATAATGGGAAATGAGCCCCGTCGTCGCACATGAGCAACATCGCCACAAGCACGCAACAGCTGCGCTACATTGCTCGTGTGGGGGTGCGTGGGAGTGCATGGGGGTGCATGGGGGTGCTTGCGGTAGTGTGGGGAAGCATGGGGGAGGGTGGAGGTGTGTGTCGTAGGGGTGTATGGAGGTGCATGGAGGTATGTGGAGGTGCGTGGGGAGCATGGAGGTTTGTGGGAGTGCGTGAGGGTGCATGGGGGTGCCCCTCACCGCACCTGGATGCTGTAGATGCGGATAAAGTGTGAGCGCACGGTGCTGTCGCGCACGACGCACGCCACGCCGCAGTGGCGCTTCCTCCAGCTCTGTTCGCCTGGCCACGCCACAAACACCTGAACCACGGCCGAGGCCAGCGTCTGTGGGGGGGGGGGGGGGGCAGGATGGGGCAGGGGAGGGAGGGGGATCAAGACACAGGGCATAGGTTCGGCTCCACTTACCACAGTGAGACGCTTACTGCCACGGTCCGATAGCGATGATGCTATTGCCGTCGAGCCACTGGTAGTACCTTGTGGTGATGATGATGATGATTTGTGCATCAGGTATCCGCACCTGCCATGGTCTGTGCGGATGCGGTTTAGGGTGAACCATGAGCTTCGTGGAAAGTCAAAACTAGGGATATTCTGCATGAGGTCTTTTACAAGGTGTTTGTGAGTTATTTTTAACTCCATTCAGCTCTTCAATCTTCATTGGGGTTGAATTTGCATGGTTGAAGGCTAAGCACATGGGTCCAAAAGGACTTGCGTGATTTCAAGCAATTGTGGTGGTCACTCTGTAAACACACACACGCAACACAGTACCTACCAGAGCGGGGCCATTGATAACCCTGACCAAAACCCCGCCTGAGGGGTGGAGGCTGTGTTGTGAGTGGTGTGTGTGACCCCCCAGAACCCTGCCCCTAGGCAGAAAGCGGGATAAACAAACACAGATAGGTTGGACTACCTGTGGCCAGAACCCCTCCTGAGGGGAGGGGGCTGTGGGGGATCTGTGATCCATCAAAATCCCACCCCTCGGTGGGGAATCATATAAAAGGCGGGCTCCTGAGAGCAGAGCTCAGTTCGCCTCAAGCCAAAGTCGAGGAGCCACCTGGAGACGAAACCCTGGACCCCAAGCCCCGACATCCTTCTGAGGGCTGGGGCTCAGTGCGGTGCCAGAGGTCGAGAGGCTAGGACCATGAGGTTCCCTCAGCCCGACGTCCTTCTGAGGGCCGGGTCTGGACGGGACAGTGGTCAGAGACCCACCGGTGCCTTAGCTCCAGCCAGCCGGAGGGCTATAGGAGTAGGTCAGTGGCTAGGATAGATAGCCCGGAGGCTGTACCTCCACAGGTTGTGGGTGGAAGGGGCCATTACCCCTTCGTGTTAGTCCTCGTGAGTGTTGTTAAAGATATAAAATAAACGTGTTGCTTCCTACTATGACTCCGTCTCCATACACTACTACACAATGATGAGGGACAATATTGAGGTCCTGGTGAATGGGTAGTCAACTGTTTTCCCCTATTTGCTGGACTTCCCGGAGGGTTGCAGCATTGTGGCTAATGGGTGGGTGTAATTGACAATGGATCTCTCGCTTGAGGTTTTTGTCAAGTGGTCCTGTGTTCTCTACTACTTTGGAGGCTATAGAGTTGGGCAGGACTCTTGCGGTCCGGTATTCTGTTGGATTGGCAGCACCCAGGTGTCGTAGTAGGGCTCATACAGTGAGGGAAAAAAGTATTTGATCCCCTGCTGATTTTGTACGTTTGCCCACTGACAAAGAAATGATCAGTCTATAATATTGATGATTGGTTTATATGAACAGTGAGAGACAGAATAACAACAAAAAAAATCCGGAAAAACGCATGTCAAAAATGTTATAAATTGATTTGCATTTTAATGAGGGAAATAAGTATTTGACCCCCTCTCAATCAGAAAGATTTCTGGCTCCCAGATGTCTTTTATACAGGTAACGAGCTGAGATTAGGAGCACTCTTAAAGGAAGTGCTCCTAATCACAGCTTGTTACCTGTATAAAAAGCACCTGCCCACAGAAGCTATCAATCAATCAGATTCAAAACTCTCCACCATGGCCAAGACCAAAGAGCTCTCCAAGGATGTCAGGGACAAGATTGTAGACCTACACAAGACTGGAATGGGCTACAAGACCATTGCCAAGCAGCTTGGTGAGAAGGTGACAACAGTTGGTGCGATTATTCGCAAATGGAAGAAACACAAAAGAACTGTCAATCTCCCTCGGTCTGGGGCTCCATGTAAGATCTCACCTCGTGGAGTTGCAATGATCATGAGAATGGTGAGGAATCAGCCCAGAACTACACGGGAGGATCTTGTCAATGATCTCAAGGCAGCTGGGACCATAGTCACCAAGAAAACAATTGGTGACACTACACCATGAAGGACTGAAATCCTGCAGCGCCCGCAAGGTCCCCTGCTCAAGAAAGCACATATACATGGCCGTCTGAAGTTTGCCAATGAACATCTGAATGATTCAGAGGACAACTGGGTGAAAGTGTTATGGTTAGATGAGACCAAAATGGAGCTCTTTGGCATAAACTCAACTTGCTGTCTTTGGAGGAGGAGAAATGCTGCCTATGACCCCAAAAACACCATCCCCACCGCCAAACATGGAGGTGGAAACATTATGCTTTGGGGGTGTTTTTCTGCTAAGGGGACAGGACAACTTCACCGCATCAAAGGGACGATGGATGGGGCCATGTACCGTCAAATCTTGGGTGAGAACCTCCTTCCCTCAGCCAGGGCATTGAAAATGGGTCATGGATGGCTATTCCAGCATGACAATGACCCAAAACACACGACCAAGGCAACAAAGGAGTGGCTCAAGAAGAAGCACATTAAGGTCCTGGAGTGGCCTAGCCAGTCTCCAGACATTAATCCCATAGAACATCTGTGGAGGGAGCTGAAGGTTCGAATTGCCAAACGTCAGCCTCAAAACCTTAATGACTTGGAGAAGATCTGCAAAGAGGAGTGGGACAAAATCTCTCCTGAGATGTGTGCCAACTACAAGAAACGTCTGACCTCTGTGATTGCCAACAAGGGTTTTGCCACCAAGTACTAAGTCATGTTATGCAGAGGGGTCAAATGCTTATTTCCCTCATTAAAATGCAAATCAATTAATAATATTTTTGACATGCGTTTTTCTGGATGTTTTTGTTGTTATGCTGTCTGTCACTGTTCAAATAAACCTACCATTAAAATTATAGACTGATCATTTCTTTAATAAAGAATTAAAGCTTTCGTGACTGCATAAATTACTCATTGTTTTTTTCGGTAAAGTCACGTATGTAGAAATACCATAAAATTAAAATAAAATAAATAAATCACAAATAAAATAAATCAATCACGACGTTTCAACTGCAACACAAGCAATCTTCATCAGGTGTAAAAAACAAATAGCATATAGGGTGACATCAACGCAACACATAGAGAGCGTTAAACTGCACGGAGGTAAATACAACAAGATGAGAGACGATAATTCAACAAACCTAAGAAAAATTTACGTGATGCAAAACCAGTCGGCCAACGACACAGTTAGACACTTGCCTGGCAGACCACGAATTTCAGAAGAGTGCTAAATTTCGTGTTCATCCTCTGGGTTGAAGATACCAGCATAGACAGAGTGAACAAATACGAGGTATAATAAAGCAGAAATACATATACAGGGACACTCCGTCTGTTCATCACTCTGGCCCCTTTTTTCTTACTTCTCTGTCCGTCTTTCCTCTTCTTACCTCTTTTGTCCCTGTATATGTATTTCTGCTTTCTTATACCTCGTATTTGTTCACTCTGTCTATGCTGGTATGTTCAACCCAGAGGATGAACACGAAATTTAGCACTCTTCTGAAATTCGTGGTCTACCAGGCAAGTGTCTAACTGTGTCGTTGGCCAACTGGTTTTGCATCACGTAAATATTTCTTAGGTTTGTTGAATTCTCGCCTCTCATCTTCTTCTATTTACCTCCGTGCAGTTTAACGCTCTCTATGTGTTGCGTTGATGTCACCCTATATGCTATTTGTTTTTTACACCTGATGAAGATCGCTTGTGTTGCGGTCGAAACGTCGTGATTGATTTATTTTATTTGTGATTGATTTATTTAATTCTAATTTATATTATGGTATTTCTACATACATGACTTTACCGAAAAAACCAATGAGTGATCATTTCTTTGTCAGTGGGCAAACGTACAAAATCAGGAGGGGATCAAATACTTTTTTCCCTCACTGTACATGGTGGCTGGAGTGTGTGAATTCCAGGCCTTCAACGCACTCACAATCCACCATTGGCGTCTGGCTAAGTCTGAATACTCTAGCAGGGGCTTTGCAACCTGTGGGCTGTCCAACTTTTTGTACTGTCTCTTTTGTCCAACAGAGAGTGGATTCTCTCAGGAAGCCTCAGGGGATGCTCTTCTTTGTGGCTCCAGTACGGAGGACAACAAAACGGTGACAGCATTCTGGTGTTGCGGGAATTCGATTCACCACTCTCTCTACAGCCTCCTTATAGTGGTCCTTGTCAGCTTTGACCAGGTTCCACCTTGATAACCGTTTTGACAGAATCACGGGGATTCAATGCTGATGTGGGTGATGATGGGCCTATGAAGTATTTTGCGTGATGCTTGAAGTGTGCTCCCACTTTGACTTTTGGTAATGATGGTGAGTTTCGGGTTGTAGTCGCGTTGCCAGCGGGCAGAGTGGAAAAGTTTTTTGCTGCTTGGGATCCAAAACCAGGTGCAGATATTCAGCGGACATCCAGTCAGTGAGGTCTTCAAAGTCGACCTGATCGACTGCATAGCCCCACATAGTATGGTGATTGTTAAAGTCACCAACGTAGAGGGCTGGGATTTGCCTGCTTGAGAGTCCTGGCTTTGGCCATTTTGGATTAGGGGCTTTATACACATTGGTGATATGCAGCTCCCCTATCTTGATGCTGGTGGTGTAGCTGGCTTCTTTTTGAGATGATGGGAAGTCATATAACTATGCGATGATGTTCTTCACGTATATGGCCAAGCCATATTTCGGGTGGTAGTGGCTTGTTGTGAGGTTGTATCCATGGATGTGGGAGCGATTGGCATGTAGTGTATCCAAGACGTGTTTCTTGGAGTGTCAGGACATCAATGTTACGTGTGTTTATTATGATCACGAGATACTCGCACTTTGCCTGGGAGAGTCCCTCAATGTTCTGTTAGAGGATCCTTGTCCCGGGACCTATCTGGCACGTTGTTTGGCCTTAAACATGGCCGTTGGTGTGATTTGCACTGTTGCTCTGGAGACTGGAAGATTGATGACCGATGTTCGGTTGCCACGTTGATGGCATTCGTGATTTCTCATTCAACAGAGTGGTGATGATGAACATGAT